GAGGTAAAGCGACAATTTATGCTTTACCTTAGAAGGGATATCTCAACATGTCTGACCTACTGAATCCCTACAAATTTCACCAAGGTAGGAGGCCCCTGAAATTGGTTAGATTTTTGCTCATTGCCTAGCATGTAAATGTCTTACATAATCTAGACAATAAGTCTAGAGTAATTGATTTCTCTTGCTCACTAGGTCCAATTAGCACAATATCATCAATGTAATGGAATAGTGTGATATCTTGTGGAGGGGAAAGTGATCTTATGATCAAGATCCCCATGAATTAAATTATGACATAGGCCTGGAGAGTTGATATATCCCTGAGGCAGGGCAGTACAGGTGTAATGCTGGCCTTGCCACTAGAAAACAAACTGCTCCTGGTGGACCTTATGAATAGGGATGGAGGAAAAGGCATTTTCCAAATCAATAGCTGCATAGCAGATACCAGGCAATGTGTTAATTTGTTTAAGTAATTAAAGTACATCTGGTAGAGTCACTGCATTTGGAGTCACCATCTTGTTACGCTTACAATAATCTTCTGTCGTTCTTAAAGAACTATCAGTGTTCTGTCCAGGCCAGATAGAAGAGTTGAGTGGGGATGTGGTGGGAATCACCATCCCTGCAACCTTCAAGTCTTCAATGGGGACCTAATCTCTGTGATTCCCTCTGGGAATGCAGGATTGCATTCGGTTTACTATTTTCCTAGGTAAAGGCAGTGCCTCTTGGCCTTTTCCACCATAATATCCCTTACTCCATAGATCAAGGAACCAGTGTGATATTCTGCCAGCTTCTCAGTATGTCTTTTCCAGTTATCCATTCCAGAGCTGAGGAAACAACCACATGGTGGATTCAGGGAACCACCAGACTTCCTGTGAGATGTACCTCAGTTAAAACCCCGTTGATCATCTGACCTCCATAAGCCCCTCCTCACACTGGAGGACCACAGTTGTGTTTGTGTCTCCTGGAACCACTGTCCCTTCAGAGTCAGTGTCTGGTGGTCCCCCAAAGTGTTATTTCCTTTTCCCCAGTGCACAATTATCCTAGCATAAAGCTATAGGTCCCTTTAAGGAAGCCTTGGAAAATTAGCAGTATAAATATTTTGTGTGTACTGAGGTACTTCCTCAAGGGTACCCAGCTTCCCTTTCATCTAAGTCACTCTGGGTTTGTAAACTGACTCAAGTCTGAGGAGAAGCCATGATTGTTTTTACAATTCAGATTAGACTTTTGTTCACTTGACCTAGAACTTCTCTGCTTATCCAGAACAAGTAAGAATTTCGTAGGCTTCTTAACTGTTTCACCTCTAGGCACACTATGACCAACAGGCCAACACCATGGTCCGTGCATGCCAGCCTATCCCCATCACTGTGCTGACTCTGCTATCTATTATGGTACACAGGCTCTCCTTGCCTTAGGCAGTTGAGTGCCACAATTAGATATTTGCCACCCCTGGACCCAATTATCGTCATTGTGATTAGGTTTCCCAATTCAGAGACTGCAGTTCTTCCTGAAAGGTCTGACCTACAAAGAATGATCACAGAGCTCTTCAAGGATTCTAATACTCTCCTCACAGATTTACTTCTTACAGTGGTGGTGAAAGGCATGTCTTCTGGACCCTTCCAGGGTGGGTAAGTGGGTCTCAGATGACAAACCCACTCCAGCATCCCACCATCCCTGTCTTTGAATCCCTTTCTTTACATGAAATTGAGGCAGATCCAGCATTTCTCTCTCACTCACTGTGGGTCAACTTTTGGCCCATGCTTCAGCCCACCAAGCAACCAAAGTGTTAGACCCTTTCTAACTCCCCAGGATGCAACATTAAATAAATTTTTTTAAAAGTTAGCCCATATCAACAAATTCTGCCTGATCCAGCATTATGTTTCTTCCATCATTATTCAACACCTTTAGTATCCATTACCACAAATATTCTTTCTGCATGAATTAGAAAACTCAAGTAGTTCTTTTGAGGTATAGCACACCACCTCATGGGTCATACTTTGTACCTCACTTTTAGGATTCTTATGAGAACTGAGTCTATATATAGGTCTAGAGGCAAAGAGGGGTGGTGGGGGTGGGTCTTCAGGGAATCAGCATTGTCTTGCTTGGTAGTGGGGGAGGCCACTGCCCTCTCCTCAGGCAATGTAGGCTTCAGACAGGGGTTAAAGTGGTCACTTTTACTGAGGGTAGAGGAACTGCTTCCACTGTCAAAGATGACTTATCAGAATTTAGGGGTCTAGTGTTCCCAGCTCCATCAGGGTCTTCCCTGATCCCTTTCAGGATCCTATTCCTTCCCAATCAATGCCTTTAACAGTAGACATTCCATGAGGTTAGGAGTTCAACTCACACTGTATTTCAGCCAGATACAGGATGAGATTGTGAGTGTGATTTTTAACAATTTCAGCCTTGTGGTCATAGGAGAAAGGGTTTCTTTCAGAAAAAAAATGAAGACTTCAAGTTATTTCTGGGACTCTTGAGCTGGAAATTTGAACCACGAGCTCATTCTTTTCTTTCCCCACTTTATCTAACAGCATTAGGAGCAACCAACCAATCTCATTATAGTTACTAGTTTGACAAAAATGTTTGAACATATCATAAATATGGTCACCCTGATCTTAGTTTCTTTTAAGTTTTGGAAAGGAATAAACAATGGTGATATTTTGCTTATCTCAATTGCCCCATCACACCATGGACTATCATTGCCCTCTTCACTACTAGAAATCTAGTCATTAGTGTCTTTAAATCTAATCAGATTAGAAAACCAATTCCAGAAACCCCAGAATGAATTCAGAAAATTCCTCCTTAAAATTTTGTTCTTCTAGAAGCACTCTCAGGGTGCCTCAGTGGCTCAGGTGGTTAAGCGTCTGCCTTCAGCCCAGGTCATGGTCCCAGAATCCTGGGACTGAGTTCCACATTAGGCTCCCTGCTCAGCGAGAAGACTGCTTCTCCCTCTGCACCTACCCCCTGCTCATGCTCTCTCTCACTCATGCTTTCTTTCTATCAAATAAAATCTTTAAAAAAAATTAGTATCACTCTCCATACCAAAATCTGTACAACTCAGAATTCCCCAGAGAAAAGTGTGTGTGTGTGTGTGTGTGTGTGTGTGTGTGTGTATGTGTATAATAAGAAATTGCCTCACATGATCATGGAGACTGGTAAATTCTAATCCACTGTGTGATCTATCAGGCTCAAGACACAGAAAAGCTGATGGTGATAAACTCTGAAGGCCACCCAGGAAAGGTGATAGTGCAGATGAAATCCAAAAGCAGTGGAGGCTAGTCTCTTTGTTCTATTCAGACCTTCAACTAATTGGATGAAGCCCACCACCTTATGGAGAGCAATCTGCTTACTCAAAGTTCACTTATTCAAATGCTAATCTCATCCAAAAACCATCATACTTTCCAAGCTGAGATATAAAATTACCTGTTGTAGTCTCTCAGGTATCTTTCACATGGTATTTTGTTTTTCCCATATGTTAGAACTAATAACTTGCCAATACTTAATCCTTACTTTGAGGACAACTCATTTTTACCTCTTTCTTGAGCAACATTAATTTTTTTTCTCAGGACCCCCTGCTTAAAAATCACATTTTCATTCTCTACCTTAGAACTCTTCTCTTTGGGGGCAGAAGGGTTTGCTCTCTTTCCCCCTTGCTTTCATCTTATTAACAATTTTCACTTCCAGTTTATTCTTTAGTCAAATTGATGATGTTCATCTCCAATTAGTCCTTTGTTTGTTCTCTTTTCCACACTTGGAAAAACCTCACTTCTACCTTCATCAGATTCTCCTTCATGTTTCAGTCTCTCTGAGGAGACTTCTGGGTCCTGCCAGCCCATGAAGATGGTCCCCTCTGTACTCTGCAGGATTCCTGGGTCCCACACCCTCTAGCACTCTGTTGGAAGGGTCAGGTGTGGGACATATCACTGTTTGCCAAAAAGCTTCTTGAGGATGGGATCCTGTCTTCTGCTAAATCCTCCAGCATCTGACTCTGTGAGCTATCAATGTAAGACCAAATTACTGAGTGTTGCCATGTGACTCTTTTCTTTGGCTTCAGTCTCCATTGGATTCCTGGGCCACACTAAAGATGCAGTGACAATTTAGGAAATGCAAAACTTTAAAAGGAACCTGGGACTTTTCTCATGACCTACAGCATGGATGATACATCTTCAGATGAGACAAAGCACTTCCTAGTTCTTTCTCCCCCACTCTAGCCTTGCTGCCCCAGTGGTCCTAAAACAGCAATTTCTGGACATATTTTTCTTCAGAAGCACCTGGGAGCCTGGAATTTGGCTATCTTGGAGGCCAGCCAACCAGAATGTCCACCATCAAAGGACATCTTCAACACACAGTTCCCTTTTCCTGTTCATAGCATTTTTATTTCTGTGTGGGGCACCACCTGTACCCACTATCAGTTCACATAGTTCTAAATGGGTGGCCCTTTGCTGGCTCCTGGAGTGGACTTGTAATTCAAGCCTCACCTAGAAGAATGCCATTGTTAGCCACAGTGACTGGGGCAGCAATGGCCTGTGGGCTTATGAGCTATGAGAATTAGGCCATAGACTTTTGCTGAAATTATCAGGAACAAGGCTCTCTCTTTTTACAGGGCTATTAAACTGGTAGGATGCAAACTGGAGGTACTAGTAGTCATTATGGCCACCACTTGGAAGCCCTTTTTGAGGGTGATAACTCTAAAAAAAAACAGTCTCCGTCGACATTTGTTGAGCCCCCAGATTCAGCCATGCCCAAAGCCAAATACCACTCCTGGTTTTTTCCTGCTACGTACATCTACATCTATAAATAATGGTTTTAGCTTTAGATAGTTTGAGATAGATAACTCACTTGCATTGGAAAGAGTCCTGACTAATGGAGGACCCCAAAACCTAGTCCCCAAGGCAGGGCTCCACCCTGCCTCTCTGGTCTTACTATCTATTGTCACCTTCAGTTCCTGGCCCTTAGATCTAATCTGTAGCCAATCTATCTGTTGGTAGTACATTTTCACACAGCTTCACTGGTTAAGGAATAGCATCTGCTTTATTATCAGTAGAAAATGTCCCAGCATACCACGTAGGACAGAAGTGAAATCAGGATCCAGAATCTGGGGCTTCCTGGCTCTGGAAATTCTGCTGCGTGGGACCTCATTTGTTTTCTATTGGGAGGAGCTTTCATTTCCTCAGCATCAAAGGGCCTTCCCTCTATCTCAGTCACCTTCTTAATCCAGAGGCTGTAATTTTCTAACAAGGTGTATATTCCTGGTGTGTTTTTCTGTCCACAGCTCTTGCCCCAGCTGATAATGCCCACCTGGTACCAGGTCTTGTCCGACTCTGTGGTGCAGACCAGAGGGCCCCCACTGTCACCCTGTGGGCAGAGAACACAGTTCAATAGTTAGTCCCATTCTAGACTGCTCATTTAAGGCAAAGCATAGGTCACTCATTGGAACAATGCACTGATCTCCCCTGTTCCAGGCTGCCAAAAGAGATGTTGTCATTGCTGACCATGCCCACCCCTCTCCTGGGTCCACAGAAGCAGTATGCTGCTGTCAGGCTGGCTCTGAGAGTTATAGACAGTGGAGAGGACAAAACTGAAGAGGAAGGAGAGAGAGAGAGTTGGTGAGAAAATCACTGCATATAGCACAGAAGAGGGAAGCTGGAGGAGAGAGCAAATGCTGCACAGAGCAAGAGGAGTGGAAGCTAGTTTTTTGGGGCCTTACCAAATGAGAAGCTCTGGAAAGGGCTGTAAAAGAAAATAACAAAAGCAGGATATGAGAAGTATTGTTAGAGTTGGTAGATATGCATTGAATCTCCTTTCTTTTGTGTTCTTCTAGAAGCATGAAGGAGAATGATGTTCCTTTTTAATTCTTTAGTGTGGATGTCTGTCTGCAAGACACAGTGACCTAAAGCTTTTCTGAATGCACAACGCATCTGGGATGGAATCACAAGGGCCTATGGCTCCCATGATTACATATATAGAAAATGTATACCAAGTCCTCCCATGTACCATCTATCTATCTATCTATCTATCTATCTATGTATGTATATGTGGCTTCCTTCTACCCATTTTAATATATGCAAAATGAGGTTTAAGGAGGCTTTAAAAGCTTGATCAGAGCTACACCATAGCCCAGCCAGAACTGGAACCAGGACTTCCTGATGCCAAAGCACACATTCTTTCCACCTTGCTACTTGCCTTTCATGGAAGTTGCTGAGTGTCTACAATCATTCAGGAGGCCTTTCTGCAATGGAGAAATAGCCTCTTTTTCCAAGATCATAAATGGGTGGCTAGAATGAATGGAATCTTATGACAAGCTCTAACAGAAGGAGGAGGATTACTAATATTTCCTGGACATGATATGTTGAGGCACAGTTCTAGCCCCTGGATTTTTGTTTCTCATCAATCACACTATCTCAGTGAAGTAGGTATTTTTTTTTTAAAGATTTTATTTATTTACTCAGACAGAGATCACAAGTAGGCAGAGAGGCAGGCAGAGAGAGAGAGAGGCAGAAGCAGGCTCCCCGCTGAGCAGAGAGCCCAATACGGGGCTCGATCCCAGGACCGTGGGATCATGACCCAAGCTGAAGGCAGAGGCTTTAACCCACTGAGCCACCCAGGAGCCCCAGTGAGGTAGGTATTTTGATTCCCATTTTATAATTCCAAAATTAAAGGTCAAAGAGGTTTGATCACCCATTTAACAGATCTTCACTGAGGGAAAAACTAATCGTCAGGCCTTTGGGATACAAGACCTTATGCTCTAGTGGAAGAGATCAAAAAGTAAGCAAAAAGGATCAACTGTGTTTGATGGGACAGAAGTATGAACACAGTAAAGGAGGAGTACAAAGCGGGGAATAAATTGATTCTGTTGAGGGAAAGTTCTGTCAAGGTAGACTTCAAAGCATTTAGTCTGAAGGGCAAATAGGAATTTGACAGGAAGAGTGTGTGTGGCGGGGGACTGACTGGAGGGGAATGAGACAGGAAGTAGAGGAACTAAGATAAGGACATAAAAATGAAGAAGATCTGAACCAGGGATGACTTTGGATATAAATGATTAACTAGTTCCCAGGTCATAGGGTGTGGATAGCAGAGATAAAGTGTAGGGGGGAGATAATGAATAAACGTGTTCAAATGGAGTTTGGGTTGACTGAGGGGTGCATCACCAAGCAGAGGGATACACAGAGCAGAATTACAAAGAGGTCATGGCTCAAGGACACCCAATAAATGTGGTACAAAATCAAAATTGCCCTTTCCAGTATAAAATGTTGTCTCTAACACTTGTCTGGTTTTTGTGGGTGTTTTTCTTCGTACTAGTTTGTTTCAGTCATTGGGCAAGAACCAAATAAACGGAATCTCCACTCTACTAACTCCTTCCATAAATTTTGTTTTTATAATGTTCCTCATTTTATGAAGGGATGAATGTTATTAAAAATCTCATTAGGGGCGCGTGGGAGGCTCAGTGGGTTAAAGCCTCTGCCTTTGACTCAGGTCGTGATCCCAGCATCCTGGAATCGAGCCCCCCATTGGGCTCTCTGCTCAGAGGGGAGCCTGCCTCCTCCTCTCTCTCTGCCTGCTTGTCTGCCTACTTGTGATCTCTGTCTGTCAAATAAATAAAATCTTTTTAAAAAAGTCTCATTTATCTGTTGCCTTGTTTATTCGTTATTTTCTTATACAACAGGGAGAGAGCTGTCCCTGGGCAAGAAATTCTTCTAAGCTGCAGTTTCCACATAGTTCAAGTGAAAATAATACCAAGTACTTGCCAACACTGTCGGCAGATAAAATTTTAAGAATCTATGAATCACTCAGCTCAGGGTAAATGCTATGTAGTAAAAGTCCTAGAAATGTATTAATATTGTTATTTTTACCCTTACGTGTTACAAACATTGCTTGTGTATTTAGGAAATAGAGATTCTCCTCACAGACTGCTGGGACCAAAAAGGACATTTGTAAATACATGTCCTTTTATGCACGAACCTTTTTTTTTTTCTTTCTGTTGGAAAGAAAAAGCACACATTGCTTCAAAGGAGGGTCTGGCCTCAAACAGTTAAGGACCTGGGGCTGATGACAACCTGCCTAAGCGGGACTTTCTTCTAGGGATGAAGTCTGATAGCCAACTGTCTGTCTGATTAGAAACATACTGACCATGAGAGCCTCTAAGTTCACCTCTGTGAGACAGTTAATTATACCTTGTCATTACTCCTCTCTGTTTTGGGGTAGAAGCAGATGACTCAGCTTCCAGCCTGGCACCACTACCACCTGGACTTCATGCAAGTCGCTTAAATTCTTATCCTTCTTTTCTCACCTATTAAACAGGGAGAGTGAGAGCTGCCCAGCCCCTTGTACAGGGGCTCTGAAGTTATTTTACTGCTTTGGATCCAATCAGATAGTGAAGGGAATTATAGATGATTAAAATAAATATTATCTCATCTGTGAAACAGAGTCTTGATTAAATATTTCTATATATTTCTTCCCAGTTTTAAAAAGTCTGTGATTCTAGGAGCACCTGGCTGACTCAGTTGGTAGAGCATGTGACTCTAGATCTCATTGCTGTAAGTTCAAGCCCTATGCTGGGTGTAGAGATTACTTAAAATAAAATTTTTTAAAATTAAATAAAAATAAAATGTCTGTGATTCTAAAAGACAAAGAATCTATGGAGTGAAGTAAGACTTCTGTGAAAGCAGCAGGGATGATGAGCTTAAGATAACACAGGGCAGTGGAACTACTCTGTATAATACTATAATGATGGCTATGCGTAATTAGACTTTTGTCTTAACTTACAGGATGCTTAACACCATAAATGAACCCTAAAGTAAGCTACGAACTTTTGGTGATAGTGATGTGTCAGTGTCGGTCCATAAGTTGTAATAATTGTACCCCTCTGTTGGGGGATGTCGATAGTGCAAGAGGTTAGACGTGTGGGAACAGGGGTAAATGGGAAATCCCAATACCTCCCTCTCAATTTGTTGTGAACCCAAAACTCTCTAAAAAAATAATGTGATAAAAAAAATGAATAAAGCAGTTCAGGTCTAAATCAAGTCAGCTTAGCAGTCCCATAACCAGACTTCCCAGCAGCCCAGTTGGATGCCAGTTCTTAACCTGCAGACTCTTAGCCTCTTTGAGGACCTCTCTCAGGTGTCCCCTCCCCTAGGGCCACTTTATGGACAGACAGTTGTTGCCTTACTTGGAAGGTTCATCTATTTGGCAAACATTTTTTGAGGATTTTTCATGTGCCAGCCACTGTGCTAAGCGGTGACAATTTACACACGAGTTAGACAACATTTCTGTTGGAGCTGAGAAGACAGACCTGGAAACAGTCAGTTCATTGTTATGACTGTTGCTCTGGAAAGTTGATAGTCCTTCACAAAAGTATTGAATTACTAGCTGGGGATAAGTTTGATTTTATATTTTGTTTGACTATGCCATTTAAAAGTTAGTTTTTAATTAACTTTTTAATTTTCATAGTGTAACCTCAGTAAGGGTATTACAAAGAGGAAAAGTGTTGGGAAAAATAAATAAAAAATCCATTTTTTCCATTGTTAACACTTAATTTTAATTTGTATTTTAAGTATAGCATCATCATATTGTTATTATTTTGAACATATTTAAATGTTTTCATTATAAAATTATCATTTCCCTGAATTATATGATGACATGGTTTGTAGAAGTTTGCTAAATTTAAAAGCATGATTTTATTTTTAAAGACAATTATTTTTGAACCCAGGAGACTACCTGCCTAGTTTATCTGTTCTAAAGTGATGATAATATTAAATAATTTCATAAAAATTTCCTTGACTGCATCACTGTCAGCTTATTGTTAATAATGGAAAACTGTCTAAACAGAAAGCAAAGATTTTCACTTCACGATTTTAAAAACAAGGCCTAAAATGAAAACCACTCTTTAATTTATAATACTTTTCAGTAATAGACAATTAATTTTAGAAGTTTTCACTACAATACGTTTTGATGGGAGAGGTCTTAAAGAAAAAGTCCTAGATTCTAGATAGTGGATCCAGCCCCTGCTTGAAGCAAAGGGTACATAAAATGTCATCAAAGGTGACCCTTGATTACTTTGAAGTTTGCCACAGTTGGCTTTGGCCGTTTGAATGTGGGATAGTGTTAAATCAAAGATATTGAAATGGTCCAGAGGGAGTGCCCATGGGGCCTGATTTTTATATTCTTGGGTGAGCGGTGGGGGTGGCAGCCTGGGATGACAGCAAGTCTTCCATGCCTGGCACATACCTCCCCTGCTGATCTTGTTCTGTCCAGCTCTCCAGACTCGTCTCTTGTTACTTCTAGCTTCCAAAATACTGGAGATTCCCTGGGCCTATGATGCTGTTTCAAGCTTTTGTGATTTTACCCACATTTTCTCCAACTTCCCTCTCATTCCACTTAGCCAACAAATAAGTCTGTTAAATGTTTCCCCTTTTCTACTGATCTTGGAGCCCTTTGGCTCATGCTTCAGTATGAAATGGCTGCTCCCTGAGTCTGTGATAGAGCTAGGATCTGAGATCGTTCTGTAACTGCTATTATTGGGAAGCTTTGTCTTCTTTTTATTATTTAATTTTGATATATACTGTGGTTGTATAAGGCAGTTACTATAATGTTGTAGTTGTATAATGCAGTTGTAAGAAGTATACGTTATAATGCTAAAATGCGGTTGTAAGAAGTAATACAAAGAGATCCCGTGTTTTCTCCAGTAATAACATCTTCATATGTTTCTTCCAAAAACAACATCTTACAAAACTACAGTACAATAGCACAACCAGGATGTTGGCATCTATACAGGGATCCCTCATGTTGCCCTTTCTGGGCTGCCTCCACTTCCCTCCTCCCTGCAACCCTTCCTTAATCCCTGGCAACCACGAATCTATTCTCCATGTCTATAATTTTGTCATCTCTAGAATGTTTTGTAAATGGAATTATTCACTGTGGGACCTCTGGAGATTGGCTTGTTTCACACAGTGTAAGTCTCATGAGATCCATCCACATTGGTGCATGTATTAATGGTGTGTTTTTGTCATAGCTGAGTGGTATTGCATGGCATTGATGTATTATAGTTTAACCATCCACATCTTTAAAGACATTTGTTTCCAATTTTTGTCTATTATGAATGCTATAAACACTCCTGGGCAGGTTTCAATGTGAACACAAGCCTTCATTTGTCCAGACTAAGTGCCTAAGAGTGGCATTAACTGGGATGTATGGCAGGAGTGCATTCCATCTTTCAAGAAACTGCCAGTTTTCCAGAGTGATTGGACTATTTTAAATTCCCACCAGGAATGCATGAGTGCTCCAGTTCCTCTGCATTTTCATCAGCATTTGGTGGTGTCACTATTCTTTCTAAGCCATTCTGAGAAGTATGGATTGATAGCTCATTATACTTTTAATTTGCATTTGTTTAATGGTTAATAACATTGAACTTTTCATTTTCTTATTTGCCCTCTGTATATCTTGTTTAGTGAAATGTCTGTCCATGTCTTTTGCCCATTTCCTAACTGGATAGTTTTTTTTTTTCTACCATTGAGTTTAAGAGTTCTCTATATGTTCTAGGTAATTCTTTTGTTGAATATCATCTCCCAGTCTATAGCTTTGTTTTCATCCTTTTGTAACAACACTCCAACCAGTCTTAAGTGTTGACTTGCTTCATCTTAACACACTCCTTGCTTGCTGACCTGAGTCCCCTGATCTGTAACAGAATGAACTTACTTTCTTTGAGATTTGCAGACCATGGGCCTTGAGAAGTGAAGGACTAGAACTTTCCCATGCCACAGAAGCCAGCAAGTCTATTTGAAACCTCCTGAGCTTTCTGATTAGCTAAAAAAAATTTTTAACAAAATGGTTGTTTTGGTTTTTTTTAAGGTCATATAAATGATTTTACTGTCCTCCCTTTGTGCATCTGTAGACCTGGAACACCTTTGCAGAAAGAACAGAGTACTCCCAGTACCAGATCCCCTTACACTGGAATAATGCTTATAGCTGGCATCATCAAGTCTTCATGTAATTAAGAAACATGGCTGCCACTTCCTTTGCTGATTAACCACACTAAACCCCTATAAAAACCCCAGGCTAGGCAGAAACATCAGAGTTGGCTTTTGGTCAAATGTCCATCTTCTCCCTGGGTTGCTGGTTTCCTGAATAGAGCTCTAATTTCTTTCCAGTCAAAAGCTTGTCTCTTGAGTAATGGCCTTTCAAGTGACTGGGCAGCTGAACTTGGATTTGGTAACACTCTTAATGGGGTCTTTCACAGGACAAATTTTTTAAATTTGGATGAGGTCCAGTTTATCAGTTTTTCCTTTTATGAATGTATCTTTGATGTTATTCTATGTCTCAAGGATTGCCTGTGTTTTTTACTAAATTTTTTATAGTTTTACATTTAAGTTCATGATACATTTTGAATTGCTTCTCTTTAAAGACTTTATTTATTTATTTGAGAGAGCATGAGCAGGAGGGAGGGGCAGAGGCAGAGGGAGAAGTAGGCTCTCTGCTGAGCAAGGAGCCGGACATGGGGCTCCACCTGAGGACCCTGAGATATGACCTGAGCCAAAGTCAAATGTTTAACTGACTGAGCCACCCAGGCACTCCTTGAGTTAACTTTTTTTTTTTTTTAAGATTTTATTTATTTGACAGAGAGATCACAAGTAGGCAAAGAGGCAGGCAGAGAGAGAGGCAGAAGCAGGCTCCCTGCTGAGCAGAGAGCCTGATGCGGGGCTCGATCCCAGGACCCTGGGATCATGACCTGAGCCGAAGGCAGAGGCTTTAACCCACTGAGCCACCCAGGTGCCCCTTAACTTTTAATTGAACTCAGTCTAGGAATTAATAGTTCTCAATTAAAAAAGATAGATTTATCCTAATTTTTGGCTTTATTTTTCCTTATTTTCTTTATCCTATGTTTATCAATAAATTAAATCCATCTCTCTATTCTAGCTATGACAGATCCTACCTGGAGTATTGCCTGGAGTATTAGGTTATGAGACTGGTTGTTATTTAAATCTTCAGTTTTAATAGGTTTCTTTGAAACTGGAGTCTGGGTGTGGGGGATAGCAACTCTTTACCATGGGATTGGGGTGGAAGCCCTGATTCCCCAACTCAGGCCTGTGATGACACCTAGGGGAGGAACAGGAGTGCTCAGTTATACCTAAGTGGGGTGAAGCTTTCACGCCCAAGTTTCTCAGGTGCCTCCACTGACATCAAGGTGGGCAAAGGATGGCTGGTTACTACTAGATGGTAGTTAAAGTCCTGATTCTCCACATAGCTACTTCTGTAACCACCACCATGGGCTAGAAGGAAGTCGAGGTTGTCCACTTGATCTTGGTTGATGGGTTGGGGGGAATCGATTTTTTTCCTGTTCTTTTGTTTGAATACTATGTTTAATATTTGTTGTCAAAAAGTTTCTGCCTTCCTAGGTTGCTCTTTCCTAGTTCAAAGAGAGGGAAATCTTTCTTGTTTTGTTCATTTTCATCTGTGCTCATTGGCATTCTGAGTTGCAGACTTGTCTAGCATCCAGTCTGGGATATATAAGAAGCAAAAAGAAAACCCAAGGAACTCACTGCTGGGTCCTTCCTTAAGTGTTGGGATATCCAATCAGTCCATATCTACCTTTCAGAGCCTTTATTTTTGTTTTATTATATAATGTCCAGTAGTTTTAGCTGTACTTAGTGGGGGGGATTGGGGGAACTATGTTTACTGCATTCTGTCTAGAACCAGAAGTCCCAATTCTCTTTTTTGTTTTATAATGTTTAAATTGTCCAGAATGTGACGAAAACTCAAGGTTAATATGATGTTTGATATGATCTCTGTTTTTGGTCCTCAAAATATTCACCACATGAGACTCCTGCTAAACAGAGTCATTGCTGCAGGTGTCCATTGTTTCTCATCTCAGAGCCCCTCCTTTTCTCCCTGATTCTCTCAACCCCTATCCCAGCAACTTTCTTCCAAGACCCTATCTCACAGCCTAGCAGGAAAAATTATCATCTTCCAACAATGAACAATAACAGACAATTCTGTAGATAAACACTGTCCCCTTCCGTGAGATAGCTTTTTCATTACTCTACAGAATATTTAACATCTGCATTTATAGTTTTATGCCAGTGACCAGATCCATTGCCCAGCAAATGAGTAGAGCTAAGTGGGCTCATTAGGATGATGATGAACAGAGCATCTCCAAAGACAAAGAGAATGGTTTTAAAGACAACACCCATAATTCATCCTTAGAGCCACAGGAAGCTAATTCCTAAGGTTTTCCCCCCCTATTTTTTCTAGCATCAATCAAAAATGTTTTTCTTTTTAAATTGTTGTATTCATTTTATTTAAAACTAAGATACCAGTCTTTTGTTCCATGAAATCCACATGTATTTTCCAAATATTATAAGTCTTTACTCAATGGCCTGCCCAGGAGTTTGTGGACTCCTTTAGGTGAGAAACTCTGTCTCATTCATTGTTGGATTCCCCAGGGCTTAATGTGCTCAACAGTAAATTAATGAAATAAAATTATTCCTTCTATGAATCTCAAATCCTGCTTGGCTTTTTGTTTTTTAAGAATTCCAAAAAATGGGAAAGCAGTGAAGCCCTATTTATGTAGTATATCTAAAGAAGAGTAGAAATATTTATACAGTGTTGCTACATACTGACTCACGGACATGCACTGACATTCCAAGGACCTGACAATGAGTACTTCCCAATTCATGTCCCCATTCCCATGGTGGAGCCCTGAATCCCACACATTTTACAGACTCTTAACTGTCTATTCTCTGGGAAGAGGAGATACCCTTGCATTGGCAGCCCCGAGGTGATAGGAGCCTATAGGGTGAAGTTGGGGATACCCCTTAGTTACCTGGCAAGCATCAAAACTCTCATTCTCATAGCCAGCACACAGCATATTCTTGGTAAGTTTTGGAAATGCTTCTGAACATTTCTCCCAATCCATGATGATCATTGGCACTTTCATCAGATCAGTTTTCATAGAGCTTTTGTCATCTAGCCCACAGAGAAAGCATATTAGAAAAGTCACTAGATAGCAGTCCCAGTGCTGATAATGCACCTAGATCACCCTGTGTATTCCTGTGTCCCATCAGCCACTTGTCTACTTTTCTTCATATCCTCCACTCTCCACTTACTTCCAGTAATCCCATGCTAGTCACTCATTCTACAATCCCAGGTTTTTCTAAACTATTCCCCACCTACTTGGATTATTCTTCTTATTCCAAATCATATTCCTGCTTCCAAGCAGACTTTCTGCTTGACTCCAACCAGCCCTACAGACTTGACTCCTTTAAACTGTCTATTGATCATTTCTCAGCATAAGCCTGCCTCTTCAGCATGTATACCTATTGCTACTTCTTAGTAAATTTCTAAATTCTTCTCCTTATTGAGTAGTTTTAATTGTATAGGTACCCATCTGCCTCCTCCTCACTTCTAACTCTCCAGTAGTAGCCCAGAAACAGCGTTACTCTAGTTGTCTTCTCATTACTAAACTCCTGAAATACCTACCATCTTCCAGACCCCAGCTGGTTGCAAAGCTCCCCATGGACCTAGGGTCTTGTTCAGGCCTGAGACAGTGCTGTGCTGTTACCATCCGTTCCCCTACCTATTTTCTTTGGGGATAGTCCAATGGAGCTTTCATAATCCCTTTCTGCCCTAGTACAGCTCTTCCTATCTTGGCCAAATAACAATGTAACAACAAGTAACAACAAATTCATTTCTAAGAATGGCTGGGCAACACTCCAGGACCATCAAATATCTAGGCTGGGACAGGCTTCTTGAATGCCTGTAGGAATCAGGTGGGAAACATCAATGTGTGAATCAAAGGAGATGCAAGAGAATAAAGAGTATGGGGGCCCCCGGCAAACTGGAGAGTTTAAATTCAGTTAAACAAACAAACAGGAATGTTCTGTGCTGGCTGAATATGACCACACCTGGCGACTGGTTTGGACCTGGCATCGCAACTTGGGACCTTGAGGAGTTATTTCCTTGGCACTGGGAAGGGGCTGAGATTTGGCCTCTGTGAGCCCCAGGTATGCAGGGATTTGCTCTAATGCAAGTCTTTTTCTCCTTCCTCCTTCCTTCGCTCTCTCTCTTTTCATGCTCCTGCCCACATCTTTAGATTTACTGGACTACCCTCAGATGCCCATGATGTGGCTCCTCCCCCAGCAGCTCTCAGGAGATGCTGAGTGGACACATACCACTGTTGGTCTGACCCCATCCTGCCACCCAGCATTTGTGCCACACAGAAGGGCTGGGCTTTCCGGGTATGCAGATGGGCTCTGTCAGTCCGTTGAACCTGATGGGTGAGTCCAAGAGCAGCAAGGCGATATCATTGTCCATGTTGAGCCTTCGAAATTCCTTGTGAAGAACTATGCTGGTAACCCCCTTTATTTCCAGGGATGAGCTGCTTAAGTCATTGCTTCCCAACACAACGCTCAAGTCTGTTGGACTGGTGTAACAGAAACAGAGAGGAGGAAGGAGGCGGGGAAGAGGAGTCATGAAGAGCACAGAATTTATGCTGCCCGAAACCCCTAAATCCCCTATAGTTCTAGGGGCCTTTCAGACTTGTCCTACTGGGGCTGCTGCTCAGAAGATGTAAGAATTTGAAAAAGGTAGAGGGAAGTGAAACACCAGGGGTGTCAGACTATAGCCACATTGCTGCTCCAGCACAGTCCTAGAGATGTGAATGAGATACTCCTGTCTAATGCTACCGAGAAAGTACTTTGGGTATTCCAAAGAATACACAGGAGGCCACTTGGCATGGCTCAAACTCACTTCAGATAGGTAAGGTGTTATTACATTGATTTGCCTACCAGCCACTCAGAGACTCAGGCACAGAACTGAATCTAGACTTACTATTGATTAAGCATAAAGAATCTTTAATAATAATTTAAGCATTCTCTCAGGGCAGAATGGCCAGAAACTTCCCAATAGCCAATCCTTAAGTATATCATGGAAGCATACGTGACAAGTTTCCTTGGACATGCCATGATGAAACTTTCTCCTGCTTTTTATTAACTTTTAAAAAGTCAGACTTTCCGTGTATCTTCAAACTTTCTTGAGGTGGTGTAGCAGGTATAGCAGAAAGCATAGGCACTGGAGCCAGGATTTAAATCCTATTTTTGTTTACTATGTGTGCATCATGGGTGAGTCACCCAGCCATATTGGGCCCGTTTCCTTCTCTATAAAAATAATATTGTTCATTCTACCTGCCTCAGAGTGTTACTGCAAGATTGAATGAGTTAAAATGGGATTATTCATCTACCTTGTTCAGGTAGCTGAATGTCTGAATGAATAAGTTAATCCAAGTAATTTCTTAGCAGGTAACTGGTTCATGATTAGTAAACAGTAAATGCTAGACTTAAAACCAGTCTCTTGGAGTGAAGAGAAAACTCTCCAAGGAGCAAGTAAGTATGGTGTCAGATAGCCCGGGATTCCAGACTTCCAGAATTAGCTGACTATCCTCCTAGAAGGACTTACATGTCCTAGAAGAGGTGGATGGAACAAGCCTTTGTCCCTACAAAACCATGAATGCTCCTGAAGAGGTCAGTGTGTGACCTCAGGGAAACAATAGTTATTTGTCCTGGGTGACAGTGAAGAGGGCATAGCAGATGCCATCTTCAGGTTCACTGCCTCCTCCTTCCTGGGGCTGGAAGGGTTGGGTGGTAGTCATTCCTGTCTGACTCAGGACTAACCAGGACTAGGACTTCCCTTAGCAATCAAGTTTTGCTGAGTGTGGGAGTGCCCTGGGAATGAACAGTGTCAGAAGCAACAGGGATGGGCTCTTGATACTTACAGTAGCTCTTCAAAAATTAAACAGTGAGCAGCAGTGACAATCCACCACTTGTTGATGATTGAGCCGCCACAGAAATGTTCGTTTCTTGCCTGAATACTCACCTGCCATGGGAACTCACCCACCTCAGCCTCCATCCCTGCTATGATTTTGGAATACTGAGCTCCTTCCTCAAAAATTGGTCTTTTACCACATTCTGGTGGATGAAAGAGAAAAAAAAAAAAAAAACAGGAAAAGATGCAACATTTTGTCAATGTCCATGAAGGCTTATAAGTAATTATTATTATACCCATTCCAAAAATGTGGAAACTGAGGCTGGCCCAGTGAAGCACCTCTAGGAATACAAGTAAGCCAACAGATGCTTTATTTTGCTGCACAGGGTCTGGGACAGAAGTGTTGGCTCTGTCCCCTCTTTAGCATTGTGATCTCAGAAAAGTCACTTCGTTGAGCTTGTTTCTAAGCTCTAGCCAAAGAAAAATGAGGGATATATTTGTCCAGAGCCATCTCTGGAGTGTTAGCAGAATAATGACCCCACCGCCAATAGATGTCCATGTCCTAATGGACCATGCCCTGGAACTTATGACTACGTTACCTTTCAGGGAAAGAGGGACTTGGGAGATGGAATTAAAGTTGCTAATCCACTGACCTTAAAATGGGGAGATTATCCTGAATAATGTGAGTGGGCCCAGTGTACTTACAAGTGTCCTTAAGGAAGGAAGTCCTTAAGAAAGGAAACAGGAGATAGATATGACTATGGAAGAAAGGCATGCAGAGATGCATGCTGTTATCTTTGAAGATGGAGGGACTACCAGCCAAGGAATACAGATAACCTGTAAACCTAGAAAAGGCAAAGCTAAGATTCTCCCCTAAAGCCTCAGATTAGGAACAAAGTCCTGCTCACAGCTTGATCTTTGCCCAGTGAGACCTGTGCACACTTTTATCCTACAAAAATGAAAGATAAGAAATGGGTGTTAAGTTTGTGGTTGTTTGTTATAGCAGCCCTAGGAAACATACATGCAGGAAACCAAAAAGATGGCCCAGAAAGGGTGTGGACCTTCTGCAAGCCCTGAGCCTAAGCCATTTTAGGTTAAAACATTCTATTCCAGGCAGAGGAGCTCCATGCCCTGAGAAGCTGAGAGCAAAGGCTGTGGCTGCTCTTGCAGAGAAGAGATATTCACCTCTGGACAGAGTACAGATCCAGCACCTTGCCCCCAGGAGGAGAAGCCTTTCCATTTATGTTGGTTGGCTTGAACTTTACTTTGTACTCTGGAACAAGGAAAGAGTTTGACTCTAAAGAACCTAAGATCTCCTCTTGTCTCTTTCTTGATGCCACTTTTGCAATTTTTCAGTCAATAAACGTTTTGAGGATTTTGTAGTGTGGGTTGGATTGACCAAATAGTGGTCATGTTTTGCTTAAAAAAAAAAAACTAGAGTGAAAATTCAGCAATTTGCATCAAAAGACTTCAGCTGTCAGTAATCTATAAAGGCTCTTTTCAGAACTTTTGGATCTGCATTCTTCAATTTCCCAATCACAGAGTGCTTACTATGTGTCATGCATTGTTACAAACACTCTACAAAGACTAATCTCTTAATTTTCATAATAATTCTATGAGATAGGTACTGTTATTATCATCCCCACTTTACAGTTGAGATAGCTGAGGGACAGAGAGATTAAGTGATTTGCCCAAGGTCACACAGCTAGTCACAGCCAGATCAAGATTTGAACCTAGGCAATCTGACTTCACAGTAGGTGCTCTTGGCACTACTCAGTGCCCCTCTCTGTCTGGAATATTCTTCTCTCAGATAGTTGTGTGGCTCACTTTGTTCAGGCCTTTGTTCAAGAATCACTTCTTTGGAAAGTTCTCCCCAACCCCTCCTGTCCTGGTCCCTCTTTATCTCCTACCCTGTATTATATTTCTTCATCACTTTATCATTAAGTTGGAGATTATTCATCCCTTTTTGCCTCTGATATCAGAATGTAAGCTTCATCTGGAGAAGAAGACATGCCTGCCTTGTTGATAGTAGAATGATAGCATCATAATGAAGTCCCAAAAGTTCATTTTTGCTTTTGTTTCCTTTGCCTTTGGAGACATGTCTTGAAAGAAGTTGCTGTAGCTGATATCGAAGAGGTTACTGCCTATGTTCTCTATGTTCTCTTCTATGATTCTGATGCATTCCTGTCTCACGTTGAGGTTTTTATCCATTTCGAGTTTATCTTTGTGTACAGTGTAAGAGAATGGTCGAGTTTCATTCTTCTACATATAGCTGTCCAATTTTCCCAGCACCATTTATTGAAGAGACTGTCTTTTTTCCACTGTATATTTTTTCCTGTTTTGTTGAAGATTATTTGACCATAAAGTTGAGGGTCCATATCTGGGCTCTCTACTCTGTTCTACTGGTCTATGTGTCTATTTTTATGCCAGTACCATGCTGTCTTGGTGATCACTTTGTAGTAAAGCTTGAAATCGGAAACAGTCAACAAAACAGAGGCAACCCACGGAATGGGAGAAGATATTTGCAAATGACGGTACACACAAAAGGCTGATATCCAGGATCTATAAAGAACTTCTCAAACTCATCACACACAAAACAGATAATCATGTCAAAAAATGGGCAGAAGACATGAACTGACACTTCTCCAATGAAGACATACAAATGGCTATCAGACACATGAAAAAATGTTCATCATCACTAGCCATCAGGGAGATTCAAGTTAAAACCACATTGAGATACCACCTTACACCAGTTAGAATGGCCAAAATTAGCAAGACAGGAAACAACGTGTGTTGGAGAGGATGTGCAGAAAGGGGAACCCTCTTACACTGTTGGTGGGAATGCAAGTTGGTGCAGCCAATTTGGAGAACAGTGTGGAGATTCCTCAAGAAATTAAAAATAGAGCTTCCCTATGACCCTGCAGTTGCACTAATGGGTATTTACCTCAAAGATACAGATGTAGTGAAAAGAAGGGCCATCTGTACCCCAATGTTTATAGCAGCAATGGCCACGGTCACCAAACTGTGGAAAGAACCAAAATGCCCTTCAACGGACAAATGGATAAGGAAGATGTGGTCCATATACACTATGGAGTATTATGCCTCCATCAGAAAGGATGAATACCCAACTTTTGTAGCAACATGGACGGGACTGGAAGAGATTATGCTGAGTGAAATAATTCAAGCAGAGAGAGTCAATTATATGGTTTCACTTATTTGTGGAGCATAAGAAATAGCACGGGGGACATGGGGAGATGGAGAGGAGAAGGGAGTTGAGGGAAACTGGAGGAGGAGATGAACCATGAGAGACTATGGACTCTGAAAAACAATCCGAGTGTTTTGAAGGGGCGAGGGGTGGGAGGTTGGGGGAGCCTGGTGGTGGGTATTATGGAGGACATATATTGCATGGAGCACTGGGCGTGGTGCATAAACAATGAATTCTGTTACACTGAAAAGAAATTAAATTTAAAAATAAATAAATAAAAACAACAACAAAAAGAATGATAGCATCACAGCTGGCGTGGAGAGGACACTCAACAGTGATGAGCAATCCTCTGACTCAGTGGCTCCACTGCTGGGAACTATCCTAAGGGAAGAATCTGGAAGGCAGCAGTTGAAAGATGTTCACTACAGTGATCTCTAGAACAGCAAAAATTGAAGGCATCCTCAATGTTATGACTAAAGTAGGGCACATGCATTCAGCCATAAAAATTATGCTTATGAAGGGTTTTTAATGATGTGAGCCAAATGTTTAAGAACAACCAATATCATCAGTGTAGAATTGTGTAGACTTGTCAATTAATACTAGAGCATAAAACCCCTGAGCAGTGATGGAGGCAATGCTGAAATAGGTGAGAATCAGCTGCAACTGTCAACACTGTAGAGGGGCACATTCTGCTGGTTCTCTTCTGATCCCTGACTCACTCACATTCAGCCAACACCCAGGCCAGAATGAGGGAGGCCAGTGAATAGACTGTGTTCTTTTCATGGGGTAGTGTGCGGAGAGGGAAATACAGGCCCAGAGTCAGATGGGTGCAAAATCCCTGCCCTTCCACTTCCCCACTATGTGACTTGGACAAATCTTCAACCTTCATAAGGCACAGAGTTGGTCACAAATGCATGGGGCTGAGAGTGGAGACCCCACTATAATGGGGTGGAAATTAAACATGGGGAATTACCTTACCCATGAGAGGCACTAAGTAACCCAGCTCCCCTCTAACCTCATCCATGCCTTAGAGAGAGAACCCATCAAGGAACCAATGATGAGGAGCTGCCCATTAAGAGCAGAAGGCCCTGGCCTTCCGCCTGCATGCACACATGTGAATGTGCCCAGTTAGGCTTCTGCTCTGTACCTGCAATTCCCCGGAGCTCTGTCATGCTCCTGACCCCCATGCTCTTCTTCCCCCGATTTGGAGATCTGATACTCAGCTCATTCTGGGCACTTGCTTCTAGGCCCTCCGTTACTCATTCAGAGATAAAGTTTAGGATTTCAGAACTGAAACTTAAGATCAGACAGGCTGAACTCTGGGCTGGGGAAGAGGAGAAGAGAGGGAAGTATTTTTTGTGGGGGAGTGGTATGAGGGAAAACATGAAGCTACTACTCTTGTGCCCTTGTGGGCCAGCCTCTTAATAACCAATTAGCTGGTTAATGAGCTCAATAACCACATCTCTCCCTTAGCCCTTAATGCTCACCACTGACTGGATGAAAGTGATGTGAGCAGGGCCACTGTCATGCCCAACCCCACCTAGGAGAGCTGCTCTGGCCACTGGGAGAAGAGACCACATACCAAAATATACGCCTTTGACTTGGGACATGAGCAGCAGAATTGATAACAGGAGCATGGCCCTTGGCTTTGATGTTGGCCTAGGAGGTGATGGAGGCCAGGGATCAGGGATATGATGCTGATAGAGCCTCCCTTCTTATAGCCAGTCCCTGGGCAACGATGTCACAATGGGCTGCGGAGTTTAAGAACTCAGACAGGTCATGCAGGCTTCTCTTCTTGCCATTTTGTTTCTAAGGTGGTTGCTCAGGGGTACCTCATCCTTGAAGGCGTCTAGTCTGAGCTTCTCTTCCCACTGATCTGGTTAGGACCCACCTCTCACTGAGTCCTTGGTGGACACCTTGCTTTCGGCCCCTGTCACTCCCATGTGTTTTAAGGCTCAAATGCCTCCTCTTTCACAAAGCCTGTCATGTCAGGGGCTCTCTGTGAATGTGTGCATAATGCCTAAGGGAAGGGTTGCCAGGCTGGGCCTGTAGACTGGGGAGGAGATCCAGGAGGCCCAGAGGCCTCTCCCAGCACTACCACCCTACCCAGTACATTTGCCCTAATAGTTTTCTGCTCAGACCTCTGATCTTGGGCTGCTGGCATGAACCTTCTAGGCTGGGTTCAGAGGCTCTGGCTTCCCCTCATGCACAGCCCAGCAGGTAAAAATCCTTGCAACCACCACTTTCTGGGTTGATTATACATGGCCCCCAAATCTTCAGATAATCCCCTGTCCATGTCTATAGATGGGAATATGAGACTCAAAGGTGGAAATGCCTGGTCTATGGCTTCTCCTATCAGCAGCTCAGTCATAGGATTTGGACCTTACTATTTTTTTGCATACTTTAAGCACACTGACTGAGGTGGACTCTACCCAAGCAACCTCAGTACTGCCTTCCTGGCCACTGGCCAGGCCCAGTGGTTGGAAGAGAATCTCACTCATTTCAGTTCCTAAAGTGACCATAGTTCATTTTTCAGACCAGAGTGTCTACTCTTCCCAGCCTAGCTCCTGTGGTTTTCTCACCTGCTGAAAAGGAATAATAGGGTCCATCCGTAAAGTCATTGTGAAGCTCAAAACCAGATTATGTGACTCAGGTGCTGGCCCCTCTTTACTTTACCGAGGATGTGGCTCCAACTACTTCCTGAGAAGAGAAATTCCAGGGTAGGTGACTTACTCCTTCTCTTACCCCATGGGCCCCTGGAGATAGCTATTCTTTGGCACCCAGGAGTCCACTCTGAGTGTTGGGCCAGGGCCTGTTGTGTGGTCATGGGGTGGCGTGATCCCCACCTGTTCTGAATAATATGTAATCTGCCTCCTCAAACAGAGGAGGCCTGACGAGTGGCTAACCCTTTTCTTCTTTACTGGCATATGGATAAAAGTACCAAAGCATACTGGGTTACGGGGCCCTAGTCTGACCACCAGGAAGCTCCGAGCTTTCCCTCTGTTCTTCCTTTAGACTCACCTCTCTCCCTCCCCTGGACCTGCTCCTCCCACCCCTGCTGAATTCTGCTGGCTTTCCCTTTTGCTCAAGTGCTGGGGGTGGGTTGTAGAGGGGAGGAGGAGCCTGGGCCCTAGGTCAATTGGGAGAAAGGAAGATGAGTGCTAATCCCCCTTGTGGGGAAGCAGGAATAATAGACCCACACTAAACTGCTGCTCATTTTCTACAGAAGTATCTGGACAAAAGCAATGCTCATGTCTAGGAAGATCCATTTCCTTCTGGGTCTCTATCCCTTTTATTAACACAACTGGGCTCTATTTTTTGTGAAATACTCATACACTGCCCAGCATTATTTTATTATTTTTATTTATTTATTTTGTGTGTGTGCCAAGCTTCTTTACAATAACAATAGATTGCAAAATGCCTGAACCGATGGAGGGGAGAGATGGGTAGGGTCAGAGCTGCCATACACATCCACATCTCCAGAGGACACCATTCCCATAGACCATAGTGGGATTACCTCTCCCTGGAATTGGCAAACACAGGGGATCAGGTATGAAGAGAAACTTCAGTGTTCTATAAGGAATCTAGAGAAATCCAAAAGGCACTTGACGACACAGGTTGCCCAGGTTTGACTGCCTGACTGATGCTTCCAAGGCCCCCAGGGGTCATTATTTACCCCACGGTCCTGACCAACAGATCTCTAACTTCACTGTGCAGCCTGGGGAACTTGTTCAGTGCAGATTAAGGTTACCAGATTCATCAAAGAAAAATACAGGATGCCCACTTAATTTTTAATTTCAGGTTAAAAAAAAGTGTATTTCTAGTATGTGTGTACCCCATGCAATGTTTAGGACATACACACACTAAAAATATGTATATATTTATTTTTTCCCCTGAAATCCTAATGTATCTGGAGCTCTATATTTTTTTAAGATTTTATTTATTTATTTGATAGATCACAAGTAGGCAGAGAGGCAGGCAGAGAGAGAGGAGGAAGCAGGCTCCCCGCCAAGCAGAGAGCCCGATGCGGGACTCAACCCCAGGACCCCGAGATCATGACCTGAGCCGAAAGCAGAGGCTTAACACACTGAGCCACCCAGGCGCCCATGGAGTTCTGTATTTTATTTGGCAATGGCAGTGGCGATTTCCAGGCTTCTTCCTTCAGATTCTTATCCAGTGGATTGGAGAGGGGAGGTGAGCCAGATCTAAGTATTTTAACAGAGGTCTCCAGATGATTCCAGTGGAAATTATCCTGGGCCACTTAGAGAAATGTCAGTCAGGCCTAGGGTAGAGAGTTTCCTGGGGTTTCTGGGAAGCTAGGATTGGAGTCTGACTCTACCTGGGAAATCAGGAGAGAAAAAGTGTGGCTGGCCAACCACTTAGGCTCTGGGACAGTACTGTGTAGAGGGACTGATTGATCCCCTAGTTTGTGCAGTGTGGGGTGCAGAGGAGAGAGAGCCAGTCAGGGGTGTCTGAGGATCCACCCACAGGGTTTCCCAGACGGGGCAGGAGGGCCCCACAGGAAAGAGGCTGGGGATGTGTTTCCAGGCCTGGGAGTGGCAGGAAAAAGGAGGCCTTCAGGGAACCACAGAAGAGCCCATGAAAACATCACCCTTATAAGTCAGCAGGAAATTCCTCCTAGGCCCAGAGGTCAGGAAGCTGATGTTTGGGCCAGCTCACCTTTATCTGCACCCTCTTCCCAACTTCAATCCCTGCCAGGAGTGAAAGAGCAGCTCAAAGTGGAGGAAGATGAGCAGAACAGAGGTGAGAAAAGGCCCTTGTCCCTAAATGGACCCAGACCAGGAGAGGGAGATTTAACAGTCAGATTTCAGCCTCTGGAGTGTGACTAAGGTTTAGATATTCTAACGTCTACATGGAAACTGGATTTGGGACTCAAGTTCCTGTAGGATTATTATCTCTGAACAATCAAAAGGTATACTTGGAGTTTTGTTTGTTTGTTTGTTTGTTTGTTTGTTTTTAATCTGGGCAGGACAAATCATCCCTCCTGAATGGAGTTTAAAAAAATGGTGAGGGACACAATAAAGCTGTTGTTTTGATCGCAATCCATGCATTGCACTGGTTCAAACATAGTAGTTGTATTACCCATTGCATTCTTTAGTGCCTTTACAGTTGGGAAGGGTCTGGCTGGAACTTCATGATTTCTCCATTTACAGCAGTCTGCTGAACAGCGACAGTGGGGAATGTACTCATCCATACAAGCATGGGCAAGTCACCTAGCTCAGGTAGACAAATGTCTGGTAGGACTGCCATGCTCCACCCACCGCTACCCCCCCCACCCCCAGCTCTCACAATCGATGCGGCCAACTGATCATAACTCCTTTCTGCTGAGCCAAGGATTGGCCACAATATGGCCATTTAGGCAGCTGTTACCAGACGATCAGACAAAACCCATTGTTATTGTTGGACTATAACCTTACGGTTGCAAAAGCCTTACCAATAACATAAACAGTTGATTAATACATATTTTGTATGCTACATATATTATACACTGTATTCTTACAATGAAGTAAGCTAGAGAAAAGAAAATGTTACTAAGAAAATCATAAGAAAGAGAAAATATATTTACAGTACTGTGCTGTATTAACATCACAAGTTTACATGATCTGTTTATAGGATGAATTGTCTGTCAGTATCTACATCAACCGTCCTATATGATACAAAACATGGCAGATATTATACATATTAATAAGAATAAACATAAAAAATGAAAAGAGAAAGTGAAAAAGAAAGTCATGTTTTTTATAGGTATACTGATCTATGCATTGGAGCAGCAATATGGTTGCTCTGTGGTAACCTAGTGTAATTGATATGATTGCTTCACAGTAGCCTCACTTATACACTAATGAGTGAATTGTTGTAAAAATGTTATGGCATGCAGTATTACAATCATATTCATAATATAGTATTAGTAACAATGTTACAGTTTTTTAAAAACCACTTAACCTGTGATAATAGGCTAATATGCAGTTTCTCCAATTATGAGGAATTTATTTATTGTTTCGGGCTTGATGGCTTTCATGGCCTTTCTTACAACAATGATGGCATCTTCAATGGTGTCATCTTCCCAGACTTTCATGATGTTTTCTCTATTGGGGTTCCCTTCCATTACATTGGCAAAGCTTTACAGACTATCATGTATAATGACCTTAAAAGTCTTTACGATCCCCTGATCTAGAGGCTGAATTAGAGACATTGTGTTTGGGGGCAAGTAGACCACTTCAGTACCTTTGTATTGAACTCATGGGGCTCTGCATGGCCAGGAGAATTTCCAATTTTCAAATGGCATTTCTTTAAAAGGCAGCCCCTTACCAGCAAGTATCTCCTGGCTCCAGGAACAAGGCATCAATGGAACCAATCCAGAAAAGGGTTCTTGTTGTCTAGGCCTTCTTGTTGTACAACCAAAAGACTGGTAGCTGATGTTTATCTTTCCTCCTTCAAGACTCAGGGGATAGTAGCTTTATAGATAAGGGCACTCCTCATTATAAACTCAGCATTGGCATAAAACAGTAGAGCTAGCCTGTCCCTCCCTGTCTTAAATATTGGTGTTCACTCTTCCTCCTTACTAATAAATGTCCTTTGTGGCTTTTTTTCTTCCCCAAATAGGGCACTTTCATCT